CTGCTGATCATAACTCCCTAACTCTTTGCAGGCTGCCCGAGCGCTTGCAAATCTAGCAGCTCACGGTGATAGCAATGGGAATAATGCTGCAGTAGGGCGGGAGGCGGGTGCGTTAGAGGCGCTGGTAAAGTTAACATGTTCCAACCACGAAGGGGTCCGGTGAGGTCGTTTCATTTCAAGTCTATCATGGATTTAGTTTGCGTCTCTTCTAGGCAAGAAGCTGCTGGCGCCCTTTGGAACTTGTCATTTGACGACAGAAATCGGGAGGCAATTGCTGCAGCTGGTGGTGTTGAGGCATTGGTAAGTTTCAACTAACTTCGTTCTCTTGTCTTTGGTCCTCACTGTGAACTGCTTGTGAAGGTTGCTTTGGCACAAGGATGCAGCAATGGATCTCAAGGATTGCAAGAAAGAGCAGCGGGTGCTCTCTGGGGGTTGTCTGTATCGGAGGAAAACAGGTATTGTGTGTCACCCTTGGTAAACTAGGACTGATTCTTGTGACGTGTGTACAGCATTGCTATTGGCCGTGAAGGAGGCGTTGCTCCTCTTGTTGCATTAGCGAGATCGGATGCGGAGGTATGCACAACGCCTCTTCTTGTGTGTGACATGACATTGTGGGTGTTTTTAGGACGTTCATGAAACTGCTGCTGGAGCTTTGTGGAATCTTGCTTTCAATCCAGGAAACGCGTTGAGGATAGTGGAAGAAGACGGTGTTTCTGCGCTGGTGCGGCTGTGCTCGTCCTCGCGCTCTAAGATGGCACGATTCATGGCCGCTCTGGCTCTGGCATACATGTTCGATGGCAGGTACAAAACTTTTCTTAGTGTTCTCGATCAGCTTTCGTGTATTCCTGGACCATTTGTCTGAGTGCTCGTTTGCCTGCTTGTCAGGATGGATGAGGTTACTACAAACGAAGTTGTTTACTGTGATAGCATTACCAAAAACGGCGTGGCAAGGCAGTCGGCCATGAAGAACATTGAGGCGTTTGTACAAGCGTTCTCGGATCAACCGTCTCTTGCGGCAGTCCCGGCTTCGCAATGGGGGCCTTCGGCGCTGCAACAAGTCTCCGACTCCGCCCGCATACAAGAAGCTGGGCATCTGCGCTGCAGGTTTGAGTTTTAGTTTTCTTTCCTCTCTCTTCTCTCTTGCTAAAGTTGAGGTGTGATTGACAGTGGCGCCGAGATAGGAAGGTTCGTGGCCATGCTTCGAAACGGTTCCTCGGTTCTAAGGTCCTGTGCCGCGTTTGCTCTCCTCCAGGTACGTGAAAGATTTAATAGAAGAGAGAAAGGTTTCGAGAAAACCTGGTGTTTCCTTGCAGTTTACAATGCCTGGTGGAAGGCATGCTTTGCACCACGCCAATCTCCTCCAAAGGTCCGGCGCGGCGCGAGTTCTCCGTGGAGCTGCTGCGTCCACAACAGCTCCACTCCAGGCGAGGGTGTTTGCGCGACTAGTTTTGAGGAATCTGGAGCTGTGCCAGAGCGAGAAAAGCTGAAGAGATTGGGGGGCAAGATTTGTAGGCTGATTATTTTGTGAGTGCGATCAATCAGAGCTTGTACAGCATAAAACAGGCTTAGAGTAGGGATCATGTAACATAAGATAGCTCAAAAGGTTTTAAAGGAATGGTATAAATAATATGCTTCCGTACGTAGAGAAATCTATATATCTAGGAGGCTCCGATCTTTAGCGGCCAATGAGAGGTGAGAGCCAAATTGCAACACCATTTCTCTCCCTCTGGCCATAATCTGTTCGATTTGAGACCACATTACGCATGTGAGGGAGCTCTTCGATGAGCCGCTCACGGATGCCAGAGGTTGTGAACGCAGCGCGTGGCATTAGAGAACACATAATGGTATAAGTCGAGGGAAATTGGGGGAAATTGGTCTTCAAGCTCTACAAACTTGGTGGTGGAAGGCTTTGCAGGCAATTACTCGTAATATATAAAACTTTGTACACATATGTTATATTTCTAGATAATATTGGAAAAATGTTGAATTTTGTTAGTTGAAATCTTATTAAAGCTTTAAAGTGATGAGTTATACTATTTAGTCTTTAGAAATCCAAATAGGTATAAATCTCTATTAATTTTTTTATTTTGGTAAATCTAGTTCCTAAGGCATATTATATTTTTTCAAACCCCTTTTAACCCCATTATAGTAGTTTCTATTCTAATAAATTATATTTTCTTATTAATCTCTTATATTTAATCTTTGCAAAAGATAGATTTGTAGATTGAAGGTATTTTAGTTTCTATAAATAATTGATTAGTCCCAATTATCTGTGGCTTTTTCAGAATTGCTATAATAGAATCCATAGCCGAAAATTCTCCATGAAACAATTTCGTTTGGACGGGCAGAAATATATGGCCTCCATTCATGCTTCTTCCTGTCTTGCCACTTAAGCTTACACACTGGAAGGCACTCGTTACCATGAAACACGTATATTCTGCCAGCCTCTTGATCCGTTAAAATAAACTTGTTGACGCTTTTTTCACTCCCGAACTTGCACTCAATGCTCAAATCACCCCCGCAATAGTTTTTAATCTCAAGTGTCATGTCGTATTTCCCAGAGTCGCTGCAAGAAACTTGATTGAATATAGTGGAATTAGTGGTGAAATTAGCAACAACATTAGCAGCAAGGAGTGAAGAAACTGCGATAATCAGAAATAAAGCAAGAGGATAAAAACTCCCTCGTTTCATTGGTCTAAGCTCTACTAATGGGCATGTTTAGGCAAATATTTTGTCTTAATGCTTGGCTTGATAAAAACGAAGAGCACAACCTCCCACAACCGTCAAAATGGGTTTGATGCTTTAGCGGCCAGCACGAGAGGACGGGCATGACACCTGTAGTATGCATGCGGGTCTAGTAACTTCGCGTGTTGGGGAAGTGATCTCAGCAAGCAAGCTATGGCTTGCTCTTTCTCCTGGTGGTGGATTGGGGCATGCACTCGCCATGCACAATTTCATCTGGTGGGAGCGATTTCTGCAGTGAAACTCCAAGAGCAACACTTGGGCAGGTGTTTTTTAATTTCTAATAACGTTCCTTTGTATTTTCTGTTACAGGCGAGAATGCTCGGCAAAACTGTAAGTATTCTTTTGTGAAAAATTTGAGAACATTTTTGAATTATAAGATTGCATGATCTCTATAGCTTTTGAGAAGAACATTTAGTTTGCTTGCGAGATCTTCCCATGTGCTATCGTGATCCAGCAGCGAAACTTTAGATGATCTCTTTCACACTCGAGAGCATTTGAGAAATGGATTGACAAGATCGTTCTTAAGGTGGCAATGATGAACGCCAAGAGGACTCCTCGAGGCATTGATGTTGAGTGACTCCTGCTGGTGTTGCAAATGCATTCAAACTCAGGCCTAAGTAAGTAAGATTATCTTTTAATTTCCATGTGTTATAATTTAGTTCCAAGGCTATCTTCATGGGATTTAGGTTTGCTAGTAGGAAAGAGTTTCATGGCCATGCAGCTAGGTTATTAAGTGGAGCATAAATGAGAATCTGGTGATGCCAGAGATCAGACACATAAATAAGATGGCTATCATCACCAGCAAGAGGTTCATGAGTAGCAAGGTGTAGCAGGATGAAGTTGCTGTCCAAGTAGCCTAAAGCACACTGAGGAGATCAGCATGTTTTAATTACCCAAACTGAGGCACTATCTTGTAGAAAGAAAACCTATAATCAATTGAAAAACTAAAGCAAAAGGAATGTTTAAGTCTTTAATTTAATTTAACTTAAACCTGGCTAGCAAAAATAACAAACGGTATCTCTTTATAATTTTTTTTGATTTGTAAAGGCATTTTTCTAAATAAATTTTTTTAAAAAAAATTTAAGGAGGAGAAAAAAATCTTCTATGTGTTTATTTAGGCATTTTGATCACTATTTAAAGTTTTCAAATATAATATATCACATTATACTTATTAAATATATTTATGTAAAAGATAAATATAAAGTTAATAAAATCTAAAATAAAAAAGTAGCACTTTTGTTATCATGGGTTTTGATGAAGATAAATTTTTGATAAAAAAAATAACCGATTACCGAGGGAGATTTTGAATTTTCTGTTTATGCAATCAATCATGAGTTTTTGCAATCTCAACATAGCAATTTTGCACTTTAGTAAAACTATTTTAAACATAACAAAACTTTTTAATTATCGTTGAATGGATATAAATTAATCATCAGTAGATGGATGCAAAACAATTATAAATGTTTGTGATGCTATTAAAAATTTTTAATGCTTTGAAGAGTCAATCTCAATGTAACATTCTGAGAAAAAGATTTGATTAACTATCTAAATAATGTATAAAAAATTATATTAATTATTATTATTTATTGAGTGTTTAATTTTAATTTAAACATTAAATAATAATATGCTCCAACATCATAAACTTATATTAAATTTTTGTGACTAACATATGTTAATTACCTTTGAATTATTTATTTCAATGCCTTTACCATGGTATAGGTTATTCTATATACTTTGATTGTATAAAATGTTTTAATTAACCCTAGATGATATAAAGTAATTTTGTAGTAGATTTTAACTACAATAAATTTTTCAATGACGAAACAATAGTTTTTTTTATATTATTTTAATTAAAAATTTGTATGTAAAAATTAAATGTTTACATTTATTTTTACATATAATATAAGATACCATACCAAATTACAAAATATAATTAATCATAATATAAATTCTAAGAACTTATACTTTTTTATGCTTAAATCACTAGTAGCTAATAAATTTCAGAATGTTTTGTTTAAATGTTTCAGACAAATAAATCAAATATTAAAATTTTACTTATTTGTATATTTCTCATAACTTTCAAATAGTATGCAATTATCCAAATTTAATATAAAGTATCTTTTATTAATTTCAATAAAACATTTAGAACATTATTAATGGATTTTTATTAATTATACATATGAATATATAACATAAAAGGATACTACAATAATACCATCCAGTATTTGTATAAATCATGAAATATTATCCACGCATTGAAGAAAGAAGTTTTCGTTTAAAAGGTATGTGAGATTATATCTTCCACTGTACAGATAGCTTTTGATCACGAGCTCGCGTTTCCACCTTCTTTGAAGAGATAGCTTGCAACAGCTGGAGGGAGCCACAGGGAATTTCCCTTCGAATCCCCCATGAACTGAGTGATCTGGCGTTCCGCATTTGCAGCTGCGACAGATGACGATGGCGAAGACGACGATGATCCTTCCATACTCTTCTTCCTCTCGCCACCATCGCCGCCGCCGCCGCCGCCACCACCGCCACCACCGCCGCCACCACCTCTAAACGGTCGGATCACCATCCCGCCAACTCTCACGGCAGCTAGAAATCCCAGGAGGCACAACGCTGGCCCGATCGCCCAATGCATCGCCTGGAGATGCTCGTACTTCTGCACAACCCCGTTGCAATCGTTGAGCCGGACTATCTCCACTTCCTCCGCGTCGGCCCAGTAGCATTTCCTGTTCCAAAGCCGCCCCGGAAAGTCCACCACCAGCGAGCCGTTTGGAAGAACACGGCTTATCTTGCCGGTCTCCCAGCCATGGTTGTTCTTCACCGGCCACTCGAATCTCGGCTCCACCACCTCGTTCTTGAGCCTCACGAACTGCCCGGCTTGGAAGGGAGAGGCCTTCACCAGCTTGTTTGGTGGTCCTTCCCACAGCGTCTCCAGTCCCAGAAACGCGGCACGGACGAGCCCGTTCTTGAGTATCTTGTGAACTATCCCCACGTTGGATGGCGATCGTCCGCTTCCTTCAGTCGACCAGCCTTCGCGGACACGGACCCAGTCGCCGGCGACGATACCGCCACAGACATGTTGTATCTCTGCTGGATCGGCCTTGAAAGTCTCTCCAGAGTCCTGGAACTTGACCAGGAAAACAGCGTTGTCCTTGTCGATCTCGATCACCGAGCCTTCAGCATCTGCCTGCTGCTGGTTCCATGCAAAGCGCGGAACGGCGACGGACGGCTTGAGCTTCACCGTGTCTCCAATTTGGAAGGCGTTCCTCCAGGGGCTGCACTTTAAAAGTCCGGTATACTCCACGGGCTCCTCTGGCTTATCACAGAACTGGACCAGAGCAGACTCCAGTCCCTTCATCTTCTTCACAACTCCAATCTTTGAGCCTTGCTTGAATGACTTGTCAGCAACGACCACCCAGTCCGCTTCCTTGAGAAGCACATTCGGACTGCAAGCAAGAGAGCTAAGTTCGTAAATCAACTTTAAAGTGGAAGCTTGCTTTACCTCCGTAGCACGGACATAATCTCTGTGAACGTTGGACGATCACGGCGATCGGATGCCAGGCAGCTCGTCAGCATCCTCGTGAGAGCTATCGGCAGGCCGCTTGGAACTACAGGCTTGTCCCCCTTTTCAACGACGGCATGGAAGATCTCACTGGGCGACATGGTGTTCCAAGGCTTAACTCCCGTCAGCATCTCTATGAAGCTGCAAGCGAACCCCCACGAGTCCGTCTCGTAAGACACCGGTCCCCTCAGCTTGGGCTCCCACTGCTCGGGGGCCATATAGTTCGGAGTTCCCAGCCACACGAGAGGACCATCGCTGGATATCGCGTCCATGAGAAGGAATGGAATGCCAAACTCCCCCAAGACAGCCTGATCGTGCTCGTCCAGAAGGAAGTTGAAAGGCTTAAGGTTGAGAGCCGTAATTCCACGAGAGTGCAAGTCCAAAACACCTTGAGCCAGGTTGACGCCATAGCTGAAAGAAAGAAACAGAGAAGAATTATTTTGCTTTAGAAAGACCGCTAGCACGCATAAACTAGGTAGCAAACAAAAACAGTACCGTAGAGCATCCGCGAGAGGAATAGAATTTCCTGGCAGCCGTGCCATTTTGTCGCCGATTGAAAGCTCGAAAAACTTGGTGATCACGCAAGCCTGCAGTGAGAAAAAAAAAAAGAGAGATCGAGCTTAGAACGATTCAACAGCGTGTGCCACAAACCAACCAACCTTTCCATTTTTCATAGTTAGTCCCCTAGGCCAAGTGACGGAAGAAGCCCCTTGCGAGATAGAAAAGATTTTCTCGAGCTTACTTGTGAAGCCGCGGATGTGATCCTCGGAGATGGCGGGCAGCATTTTCACAGCCACCTCGTGGAACTCATCAAATTCCTCGCGATGGCTGTGAATCGTGGCGAGCCAGACATCCCCGAAAGGGCCGCGGCCAATCCGGTGCTTGAGGGTGAGATCCTCGGGCCGGATGATCGTCTGGGGCTGATTGAGCGGCGGAATCGCCTCAAACGGCTCGTAATCCTCCTCCTCGTCGAACAGCGGGTCCGCTACCTGCTTGGAAACCCCCGGCTCCTGCTTGGAATCGCCTCCCATCTCGTCGCCGATTGCCCGGATTCCAGCTCCAATCACAAGATTTCAAAGCCCTAGATCATCCGAGCGAGCAAGAGCCAGCAACATCAGCGCAGGAGAGAAGAAAGGAAGGAAAGCGCTGGATTACTACCTTGCGCCCGCGCGAGCTCGCCTTCCTCTCTCACGCGCTAGACCTAAAATCCATTGGCGCGCTCCCGCTCGTTGCGACAGCTCCCTAGAGAAAGAACCAAGACAGAGAGAAGGAAAAAAAGGCTAAGCTCTAGCAAATCTCAGCCGTTGGTTTCGTTTAGTTGCCAAATCGGCAGCAGTTAGGCTATCCGCCCAAAAGAATAAAATGTTTATTTCTAAGCCTGACTTTAAGCCTTGACTTTGTTGACTATAAATTGACTATCACTGTTGCTAGAACTGACCACCATTGACCAACTAATCTGTTGCTAGAAGAAGCAGTAGTCTAGCTTTCCGCCATAGCCACCGTTGATGCGAGCGAACTTGGCGGCCTGGAGAGCGGCGGCTTTCCTGGAGACGAGGCCCGAGTTGAAGCGCGCCTTGACGTACTGGGAGGAATACGGGAAGTTCTTGTGCGCATACGAGTTGAGGAGCGCCGCCGTGCCCTCGCGGAGAAGCTGCGAGAATGGATCCGTGCGATTGTTGCGCAGGGCCGCGAGCAGCGTCATCCCTGGGCCGAAGACGCGGGGAGAGATCCCCTGGAAGATGGCCGCGACGCTGGAGAAGATGGTGAGGAATGGCGGCCACAGCTGAGGGTGATTCGCCCAGAAGCTGGAATCGAAACAAATGGAACGAAACAAAATGGAACGATCGAAACGAAACAATCGAAGAGAATGGAAAGATACTTACAAACAAGTGCAGCCTCCAGTGGGAGCTGGATTGACTGGAGCCGTTCCAGACGGCGGAGAGCCTCCAATAAACGGGATTGTGCCACCGGGTGCTCCTCCGCCGCCACTGCCGCCACTGCCACCACCTCCTCCACCGCTGCCACCACCCCCACCTCCACCGCCACTGCCGCCGCCTCCTCCATTAAACGGTGGAAGAGGTGAACCTGTGAATGGAACTGTGCCACCGCCACCATCGCTGCCACTGCCGCCACCGTTACCGTCTGATGGCGAGCCTCCATCTCGGGTTGCTGGCTTTCCACCGCCGCCGCCGCCATACGTTGGAACGAAGTCTTCCTTGCGTGATCCATAGACACTGGCGTTGCGATCATGTTCTTGGAGGGATTGGCACCCGGTGCCGATGACTAGAAGCCAGAAGATCAAGAGACCGGCCACCATCTCTACTTTTCTGCGTTGAGATCGACAAGATCAACGGATCAGGACGCTACTTACTTACAAGAGGAAGCCACAGGTAGGTGTTTGATCTCCAGAAGAAGAATTCGCACAGTACTGCATTCATGGTTCACAGATCCTCATGCGCACTGAATCACAGCGCTCAAGAAAATTAAGATTCCCCCGTCGATTTTTAGTCAATGGCGCAGACTCGTAGGAAGTTGACGCAGTTTAAAATCTTCCAGAAACTAAGAATGCCGTGCCCGCCAGTGAGGAACAAACAGCGAAGAGCTCGAAACTTTAACACCATATTGCGAAAGAACAGAGTGTAGGCGATTGAATTATTATCAGTGGAGAACCATAACTTGGGGCTCTTGCTCAAGATCAAGTCCAATCTTAACAGTCCGCAGCTCACAATTGCCAAAGCTGTATGGCAAGAACAAGTTTAGGCTCACAAATCTTAGACTAAATGAAAAGTACCTTGAGGGAACTTGGTCTGGGCAAATCCCATACTTGTTAAAGTCTACCAATCGAGACAAGAAACCACAGTGAGAAACCACGGCAATCTCCTTTTCTTCCCGGCTCAGTAACCTGGAAAGACAACATTCTGTTAAAATCTAGCCAAGTATAAGCTTTGCAAAAGTTTGCCATTGAAGAAATTCTTTGATGCGCTGATGAATCTCATCGTTTGTCTCGGAAACATCAGGCCTCCAGAGCACATCCTCGTTATCTTTGATGAGCGAAAAGTCCACTCCTGGAAATTGGCCCTTGTAGACGCTAATGTCACGCCTATGGTCAGCTCGAGAGGTTCCCTGATCAATCAAGGGACAGAGTTGTCAAGAAAAGATTTAAAGACCATCGAGGCTCTTACTATATGCTCCCTGCAAAGCTCATTAGTTACAAAGGGTGGCGATCCATGGCTTGAGATTGACCCTCCCGGATATGGAGTTTTCCCAACTCCATTAACCATAATCAGTGGCTCACTGCTATCATCATGGTAGACATCTCCGCCTCCAAAAACACCAGCGGCTGTTTGCAAAGTCCTGTAAATCAATAAACTCACGCCATTGATCAACAAGGAAATCTCTAAACAATACCTTGTCATGGGAGAAACCACAACCAAGTCGACCTTGTCGAAAAGCCCAGTTTGTCTAATTAGCTTACCCCGCTCTACAACCTTTGGCAAACAACATGTCATTCGAAAGCTAGAAACTATCACGTAAACCTTTACCTGTTTCCAGCCGGTGGGCGTAAGGCTAGCGTCAAACTGGTCATCCAGGTGCTCCACTTTATCTGGGCTAAGAACAGAAACTTGGGCTTGGAAGAAGAGGTTAGACAGGACGTAGCAAAATGAACGCCACAGCCGCCAAATGACGTCCGTTGAGAGACGGCGCCATCCGCCACCAAAGATCAAACGATGGAGCAAGCCCAAATTCAGAGCCACGATGTCATGGTTGTGATAACCATGACCATGCCGCAGCTATTAATCACATCAAATCACGGTTATTTGCTACCTCTGATAGCTTTGTAGTACATACCAGGTGGACGGTCTTCCATTCTCCCTCCATTGGTGAAGAGCTTTAGGGTTCTTGTGTCTTGAATATGGTTTTTATTTATTTATAAGAAACAAAGGTACTACAAAGGAAAAAAACATGTGATTTTAACTTTTTTTAACTTTTTTTTTTCTCCTGGAGCTGCAACTCGAAGATTTTTGTCTGAGTGGCTTGCTACAGGAAGCAAACTAGCTACAAGCCTCGGCAAAACAAGAATCTCTCCAAAGCACCTACGTTGTGTAAACTTCCGGGTTTTCATGTCCTCTGCCTCAAAATGACACCTCTAGTCTTATTTGCCATGGCCTGTTCCTGAGATGGCGGATACCCCTGATAAAAAAGAAGAAGAGAAACGCCAAAAGAACAAACAAAGCTTAAGATCGAGAGGAGAGGCACAAAGAAACAAACGGAAAAACAAAGACTATGGCCGGGGAAGAAATGGTTCTACCCAGGATGGCTGCCGGAACAAAACTGTGCTCCACAATTGCGTAAAACAGCTGGGCAAGCAAAGCACGTCAAGGGGAAGAGGAAACCAAGAGAAGAAAGCCAAGAGAAAGCTCAAAAGAAGAAAGAAAAACTCACCTATGGCTCAGGGATACCACTCAGAAAAGCAGCAGGATCATCAAAATGATCATCACCACCACTACTCTCCGATGAGTTTTCTAACACGGGTTCTGTCACTTGAAGTTTTTCCTCCACTGGTGGTTTAGCCACAAACCTCTTCCAGACATTAAAAAAGCCGGAGGAGGTTGATGTTGAGCCGCCACCAACACCGTTTTCTGGTTGAGTGGTAGCAGCAGCAGTGCTGGTTGGTTCTGGACCTGATTACGAAGAAAGAAGAAACACAGACCAAAAACAAAAGATGAAAAACGTGATGATCTTTGAGATGAAATCTCAGTCAAAGGGAGGAGCACAACTTGTAAGTTGTGCTCGAAAGTCCGAGTCGACTCACTCCTGTGTGATGCAAGCAAGAGAAGCTTCACACTACCCAAGCAGCATACAGGCCAATGCAGCAAGAAAATAGACCTCAGGACGGGCAAATACGTGCCAAGAATCAGGAGACGGAAAGTTTACCAGGACCGTGGAGTTGCGTCTCCTTGATGATGTAGCCGTGTACATCATCTTGTCCGTGTTCTTGGACGCGCACGTCATTGACGAACTTGGGATTCTGGCACGAGAAATTTTGGCATTAGTAGTTTTCGAAAGACATACATACCCTGAACCGGCTTTTGCCTGGGCCACCAAGGATTGCCGGGCTGAATGTGCACTGGTTTATCTCTTTCAACTCTTTTTGCCTTCTCATGGCTTCGATTTTCTCCTGGACTTTTTGCCTGTCTGATAAGATTATCTTGTACCATTGGTCCCTCGAGCTGGCAACATGAAGTTCAGAGAAGCACTCAAGTGGAGAAGAAAAAAGCTTACCTGAAGTCTCTCTTACGAGCAGCCAGCTTCCGAGATTTTTGGTTCATTTTCCTCTCAAATGAGAATCTCTCAGCCGTCTTTCTTCTCCAGCTCGATAGAAGCATGTGCAATCCTTTTCGCTTTCTCTGGAAAGAATCAAATTAGAGGCAACATAAGCAATTCCAAGAATCTAAACTATACCTGTACGGTTAGCATGAGATCCACAAACTTTTGAAATGGTAGAGGTCTTTCGGCTTCCGAGCCCATCTTTCTAGCTTCTGCGATGTTCAAGGCCACGTCTTCCTTGAGATCTTTTGTTTCGGCTGTTGCTAGCTCTACGTAGCCATCCTGCCACAAACAACAACATCGCTTATGAAGCTCTAAACGACAAGGGGCAGTGAGTACCTTGTCATCGTCTAAATAGCCAAACAGCTGTTGGAAATTCCGCTGCTCGAACCGTACAGCCAATGTTTCAGATTTTTTGAGGACGTAATGGTGATTGGAGAGGTTTATCCAGACTCGATTAATATTTTCTTCCAAAGCCTCCTCCTTAGCCCTGGCAGCAACATCGAGATTGTAGAGAAACTCTCCAATAGGCAAAGATTTTTCATTTCGCTGCAACCAACAGAAAAATTCTTGTTATTAACTGATAGAAACTTTTGTACTACCTTTATGTTTCGAGGACCCCGCCCAGTGAGAGGAGTGAACAGTTTTTGCCCCGTTGAAGGATCAACGAGTTCCTCCTCGCGCTCCTTCTGCCTTCTGCCGGTCAATCTGGCAGCATAATCCAGAAGCCTCGAAAAAACTGAGGGATCGCGTGATGCTTTCTTGATCTTACTATAGGCTGAACTAGCGCTGTCTGGCCTTGATTCTGGTTCTTGGCAACACGGCCGATTAACTTCGGGTCGGAAAGTAATGCTGCATGCCAAGGACAAAACTATATGAAACTGAAAAAAGAAGTTTGAAGATGAAGACGTACCCATCAGGATACCACAGCATGTACTTTTCCTGACGCTTTTTACGAGACTCAGCGTCCCAAAACAGTAAGTCGAACCGAGAAACAGTACCGTGGCTGATCTCTTTAATATCAAGCCCCGAGGAATTCACACGAGGCTTGAAAGTGCACTCCATCACTTCGAGATCGGCAGTCTGAAAAGATCCCAGTTCTAACAAAAATCAAAGAAAAAAACGATGGATGAACCTGTTCCCTCAAACTTTGCAAGCGACTCTCCGACCGCCTGGTGCTCTGGAGCCGCTCCCAAACTTCTCCTGCTTTGCGTTTAAGGTTTCTTGCCAGCTTACTGCACGAATCAATGAAAAGAAAAAGAAAAATAGCATCTCGACATCGTATTAGAGTCGGTTTCAAGTACCTGATTGCGGGGCTCCCGGTTACTCCTTCCATTTCAGATTTTTTAAGTTCCTTTTGTCGGCATTCATAAATCTTCTCCCTGTGCTGAATGGCAAGTATAGCCTCTCTGTAAAGAAGCTCCCCGTAGTTTTGAAAGTGTTTGGCCGCTAACTCCCTTACTTTCATTATTTTCCTGGATCCCTGGAAAACAGAACTTAGATGTTCAGAAGACGTAAAAACATGTAAGTGCTTACCTTTGAGAACACGGGCCTTTTCTTCTTAAGCTGCTGCTCGTGGAAATCCTCATAGGACCGCCTTTCTTCCTCTCGTCTTCGGTGGTAGAGCTCATATTCGCCATGCAAGCGCGCACATAGAGCTCTCTACTGTAAGCAGTGTAAAGTAAGAGACTCAGGCCGTCAAAGTTTAGCGAAAACACGAGGCTCCAAATACCTGCTTGTCTGAGAGCCGGACAACAACTTTCTTCTTTTTGGGAGGCTGAGGAATAAGCTTGGCCGCGCTCGTGAATGTGCACGACATAAGTCTCTCCGAAAACGCCCGTTGCTTGCGCTTGAGATCCTTCTTCGGTTTTCGCTCGTGTTTAAATGGCCTTTCTGGCCTGGAATGAAATCTTCTGGATGTATATTTTCCGGATTCCTTCTGGATCCTCCGTTTGGAGAACAAGTATTCATCCTCGAGCTCACGACCGTAGTCGGGTCCAATGTACCGACAACAATGATCATCATTGAAATTGCTACACACAAAGAAGAGGAGAAATGTAAGGTTTCCACTAGAAAGACGTGCTCACCTTATTTTGTTGATGTGTTCAGTCAGCGGTAAAACAAGCTGGCTGGGAAGATTTTGATCATGACAAAACTTGGAAGCAATTTGCTCGGCCGAGTCACCCTCTTTCATCTGAATATGCACCTCCCTGTCATCCTCCACCTCCACGGTGATGTCAAACAGAACTTCCCGCTCCTCAATTCCTACGTTTGTTACGACGACATTAAAAAGAAAACCGAAAGGAAAGGAAAACGAACAGAGAAGAAAGAAAATGCTTACTGTGTGTATCACACGAGTCTTGCTGTTGGCGTTCTCGCAAAACCCGGCTTTTCCTCTTGGGACGCTGCTGAAGCCAAGAAAAGAAGAAAGTTTTACTTCTTTGAAACCAATGAATGGAGAGAGCAACCATACCTTGGACGTGGAAGACTTTGATCCGCTATCCTGCGAGGCATAGTTGGCCAACCCAGGCTGGTTCTCGAGATCCTGGAACTCGGGGGTGGACTGGCGGGACTTCATGGTGGCGACGAGAAATGCTACTGCCGGAGAAGAACGAGAGAGATGGAGTGGTTATGACTGTTTGGCGGTGAGCGCCCCTGGGCGAGGCGGGCGCCACATAAGCTATCAAAATGTGCCAAGTCAGGCCGTGACGATGTACGGCAAAAGGTTTATAGTTCACGGGACATCGTCCGTACATGTTTCGTTTACGTCTACGTCTCTCACCAGGCTCGAAGAAGCTCTCTTTCTTCAAGCCACTGTGACCGCTTGAGGCGTATCGTAGTGGAAGGGATCGTCCAAGTCCCCCAAGACGACCTCTTGCTGTTTTGGTTCCAAGTCGATAAATTCGTTGGACTTCTTGGCCAGATGTGAGATGTTCACTCTGCCTTCTCGCTTTATGTAATCCGCCACCGCTTTCATTTCCTCCGGAGAGATGTAAATGAACTTCCCTCGATCGTCCATCACACCAGACAATCGCCCTGGAAAACCTCAAACTCTTTTCAAGAGCACAACGCAGAAACAAAGAGACTCACCCATTTGTTCCAAGGATATTATCCGGTCGATACATTCCTGCGCAGTCCATAAAGAGAACCACTAACCATAAGTTACATTGAGATACTTACCTGCGTACGCAAGTGGAACTCCGCGGCTAAGTCTTCCAAAGCTACGCACTTGTGATTCTGAAACAAGGAAGAGTAAGCAAGAACCACAAACAAAGCACAGTATCAAACCTTGATGAAATCAACGAAGTCGTTGATAAGGCTCTGGCCTTCCTGCGTGTTCTCGCCGGATGTGCCTTCTGTGTCCACAGAGAACGATCCCTTCCACATATCAAACTCTTCGACAGCAGCAACCTCCTCTTTCTCCTTTTGCATTTTCAGCTCCTCCTCCTGATAGAGAAGCGTAAGTTTATTCCATGCTAATCGATGATACTTCGCATTACCTTCCTTTGCTCTTCAGCCTCACGCTCTTCATCTTTGCGTCGTCGTAACTCTGCGTGCCTGTCTTGCTTCTCCCTCTTATGATCTCGAGCGGCAGACTCGGCCTAAGCAAAAGAAATGGAATTTACTCTACAAAGTATGGCAAACTTTTCCAGACCTGCTTGCGTGCTTCTTTGTCTTGTTTCTTTTGCTCTCGTTTCTTCGAGCTCTTGGCCGTGTAGTAGCCTATCTCTTCGCCGTCTTCTTCCAATTCCCCTTCTTCATCTATCCAAAACTCTCACGATCGGTGAAAGCGGAGAGAATCCAAATGTCATACCTCCTCCGTTGGTGGACGATGACGCTGCTGCGACGGGCCTGCGTCGCATTCTCCGGCTCCCTGCCGTGATTCCAGCGCTGCGGCTCGACGACGCGCCAGAATCATTAGCAACAGGATCATCGGAGACCTGCCAAGCAGAAAATCTCGATTACTATAGCTCCAAACCGATCTCAAACTTACCGCGCTCGAAGATTTTGGAGAAAATCGGCCATAGAGACTCCAAAAGGCAATGGCGATGAGCGCAAACAGCACCGGAAGACCAAGGAGCAGCAGCATTCCCTCCATCTCCAGCTTAGGGCAAATGGGAAAACTCCATTGGGGTTTACAAAAGCATCAACGAATATTCACATGCCTGGCATATTCAAAATATTCACATTTCTGGTATATTCAAGGATCCTTTTCAAGAAGATTCACATTTTTGGCATCATTTCTGGTATATCCAAGAATATTCACATTTCTGGTATATTGCATTACAAGATCAGTATATGTGAAGCACGCTAGTGACAGACTAAATGTTTACAAGCTAAGCACATCAAGAGAGAGAGAGAGAGTGAAAGCAACAAACCAGGCGTCGTATCAATCAGCTCCTGATGTCAAGAACAAAAATGGGAGCTCCAAAAAGAACTTCGAATCAGGGGCTCAGCACTGGCGCTGCCGGTGGCAATGCTGCGCTCTCGCTCGGACGGAGAGGCACAGCCAGCGATGGATCCAGGCTATGGAGCTCCTCCAAGAGATGTGATCGTCTCTCCTTGAAGTAGTCCAGGCGTGTCGTAAGCTCGGCCAGCGGGCTCGGAGCATGGCGCTGAGCTGCTACTGCCGCTGCCGCCGCTGCTGCTGCCATCTCGTTCTGGTTTTTCCACGCGAATTGCCTCGCTGAAGGCCCCGATGGAGGTTGTAGCGCTTGCCAGTTCTCTTGCTGAATAGTCCGCCTCCGGAGGTCATGGCCTCTAACTCTCTCGGCCTTCAAAGCCTCCTGGCAGTGCGCGAAGCGATAAGAAAGTGGTAAAGAGATGTAGCAATGAGACCAACCTTTGCTTCGAGCAGTGCATTGCGTTGCTGCGTCAGGACATGCTCGAGGGACGAAGCATCTTGATCTGTTTGACTCTCGAGCTAGAGGGAAAAAAAGGTGGCATTAGTGCTTGATCACTGGCTGGAAACATTTACCTCGTCGTTCCGTTGCCTTTCGTGGTGGCACAAAGCTAGAGTCACGTCCAACTCTTGCTGCAATATCTTCCTGCAAGAGCGCAGAAAAACAGGAAATAAAATGAGCTTTTAGTCAGGCGGTTTCTTTGCTCTTACTGCTGAGATTGGAGACTTTTATATCGCTGCTGGCGCTCAGAGGTATCCGGCATCAAGCTTACTTGCTGTTGACGCTGCTGATTAAGCTGTATGTGTAGTTCAGCAACCTTCTTCTTCAGCTCTGCAACGTCTGCTTCAACGACTGCGATCTCTTCCAATTCAGCTCTAGTCTGCAGGCATTGCAATCTCTCGTTACAAAAGTGCTACTGCTACACAGTTCTTACCTGGGAGTCCATACTTCCTCCAGTTGAAAGGCTGAACCCGGATTCCAAAGCAGTTCGTAGTTCTCGTTCGACTCGCAGCTGTTCTTGAAGCTTTGCTACCTGGTGTTTACAATTTGAAGTCAAAATCTCATAAAAAAGGAAAGGAAAATAGCACGAGCATACGTCCTGTTCAAGAGCGAGCCGGCGATCGTGAAGTGCTTGCTTTCGTCTTTCCAAACTCGCTTGAAGAATTGCATTTCCTTTAGCCTAAGCTTGCACATATCAGTACAATAACATGGAAGAACGCGAGTACCTCCTTAGCAATCTTAGCCCGAAGCTCGCTTCGAGTAAGCTCCAACCGTTGAATTGCCGCTCTACAATGCACAGTAAGTACCGCAAACCAGATCTCAGCAAAACGAATACTTACTCCTCATCAGCAGAGCCATCAACAGGTTCATTCCTGGAGCTAGCCTGAAATCTCGTTGTGTCATTAAATTTTAAACCTTTGTCCATGCATATACCTGGCTGCCAGATGTCGAAGCATGCAGCTTGGAGGAGGGCTTACGAGCGCTTAAAAGATCGAGTTTCGGTGTTGTTGCAGAACGTCCACTATCTTCCCAAAGCACCTCATTTCCTCTGTTCTCATTTCTCAGATGACTGGGTTTGGACCACCCTTTCAGTGGCTTCCCTCCAAAAGCATCCTTCTCCATCTCTTTACCGTCATAAGCCTGGACATAATAAATTGATTGTGAAGGGAGTTCTCACTAAATAAAATCAGTAATACCTTGTAGTCGAACGTATCACTACCAGCATTGCTACTAGTCTCGCTAAGAGCGCCACTATGAACACGTTCTGGATCCTCGTCCGGTTGAGCATCCAAGTCATTTTCCGCGTCGTGATAGCCATCGGTCTCGTGCATTTGTAGAACTTCTTCTTCGGATGACTCTCCGCTCTCGCTGCCTTCCAGGTTAGGATACATCTCGGGCGAGGGAGGCCCCTGTTGATCATTATCCTGTTAAAAGCATACGTTAATAATTTTGATTTGAGTTTCTATAATTTTAATTTTGGTTTCGAGACAAACCTCAAAAATATTGTCATACTCTTCCAGTAATGTTGTCACGATGGCTTGGGCATTGTTAGCAGCAACTGCAGCGGCGTGAACCTGTGCAGCATGGTCACCGCTTATGTCCGAATCATCCTCTAGACCGCATTCGCCAGCTATAAGGGGTCTAAGAAGCAAAGGTGCCATACAAGTAGCAACCGCTGAAGCCGTCATCAGGTTGTCTGAAGTATGTGCGGCGATAGCCCGACCCATTCTTAAGACTCTGCCATGTTCCCATTGTATTAAAAAGAAAAACAAAAATGGAGTACAACAAAGAAAAGTACCTTTGTAGAAGCCGACGATTAGGCTCGGGAAACGTGTCAGCAACTGCCAACCGCATTGACGTAATGCGAGCTTCTTTGCTTTCAAGCCTATAAGCTTCAAGAAGTGCGGTGCAGCAAGGAGTCGGCACGGGAGAGGAAGGGAGCTCCCTAAGTACAAGCTGCAAGGAACTCTTTAAGACTGATTTTATCAACGTAATTCTCATTACCTTTATGCAGTCACTCACAACATGAGCGTCTTCGTCTGGTGAGAAGCTAGTTTTTCCTGTCATGGTGATAGAACGTAGATCACGTGTTCACAGAAAAAGGAACCTATACCTTGTTCATAGTCGCGAATACGATGCTCCACCTCTTCCACATCAGCACACTGACGTAAAATTCCCTCCGCTTTGACTCCTGCCAAATTGTAGCACCTAAGAGAACAGCACAAGGATGAAATTATCCGTACCATAACGCTCAATGAAGCACAAAGCCTTCTCCAGGAACGATGGACTACCGTCAATGTCTTCCAAAGCAAGTAAAATCGGTCTACCGACAACCATTGACTTGACGGATCTTCTATCTTTCCCTACCAGAAAAAAAAGAAAAGAAAATGTCAAGTCAGCAGCTCGCTAGAAAACTAAAATTCCTACAGGCACCTAATTCAGTCGATGTTTCAATCACATCAATAGAGTCGTTGCGAAAAATCCCATCGTGCCCCACTACCAATGCGGCATTAGGGGCTGCAGCAAGCGCTCGCTCGAGGGCTACCTTCCATTCTTCCACATCCTCCGATGTCTCGGCCTGTTGGTTACGGAAGTTAAGAAACAGATACACTATACATCAAGATTCCTCTACGAACGTAAATGACGCACCTTGAGGGTAACAGTTCGGCCATCAGGGAACATTACAGTGAGCAACTTTTTATCGGCACGAACAAGAACACTAACAGAAAAGAGAACGAATCGCATTTAGCAAGGACAAACTTTCTTTAATCTGAAGATACGTACCTCCCGGAATTATTGAGATCGATTCCACCCAACGTCATGCTTGCTTCGCTTCCTCGTAGCGGAAGAACGTTCTGCTCGGGAAGAAAAGTATGCAAGACTGAGTGAGTCTGCGCATCAGTGGACCAGTAGCATTACCGGATCGTCCTTGAAAAAGACTAGTGACGTCCTCGTAAGTATGAACCACCGTCGTTTCCATGACTTCCATCCCAAACCTGTGAAAAGAAACGGAGGAAACGAGCTAAGATAGAGAAGGAAATCATCGCTTCGACTACCTTTGGAAGAAATCAACAGCGGGCCACTCTTGAAGACCTGGCAAAGCACACCAAACATAAAATGGATCCACAAAGTAGCAATCCATCAAGAAACTTACAGCGTTTGACCGAGTTCGTGGCCGCTCGAATGGCGTCACCATTGCTTGCTAGAATGCTGCTACTCCAAAACCGCGTCTCATGACCGGACGAATCGAAGAGTCTTGCTCGCGAATTCTACCCTACATACTTCCCGTGACGATATTTCACCTGCATTGCTCGATTCCAAACCCTACCACGCCGCGAGAAATCCTGGAATCCCTGCTGGACAACATCTTATCTCGCCCGCGCCGCCCCGGCCCAATCCTACGAAATCCAAGCCAGAATTCCAAGGATTCCAGCTCCAGCCGCGGGAATCCGAGGATCCGAGGGCCTAGCAACAAGAATCTCGCCGCAACAGGACTAGATCGCCATAGCCGCAGCTCCTCCACGCCCTGTCTTCCTCCAGACGCTGCGCGCCCTGCGCCCTACTGGAACAAGAGGCCAAACACCACTCCCCGGGCAAACAGTGCTCGTCTTCCACGGTCAGGCCGAAAGAGTCCGACGTGGCAAGCGCTAGATCGTTGGATAGAGCCTCACACGTTCGGCGCACCCGTTGAAATAAAACGAGAGCTTACGTGGCGAGCTCTCGCTCGTTGGTTTGGCGAGGATCGACGGCGGGCGCTGCCACTCCGTCATGACATGTTAAAACCATATAATCAAACCATCAGTTCTAAACTATTGAAGTTTCTTCTCTTCACCCACGAATGAAGGATCAATTCAATAGCCTGGCTCCATCCGCAAAGTGGTAGCTAGTCGCAATCACCCACCAATTGACAAGGTCTACAACTCTTTCCATTCCATTAACCTTCGCTATGTTCTCATTGTTTTGAGTAGCTAAAGTTCCTTCCTGCGTTTGTTTATCATGAGCGACGACAGTGATACCCACCAAAAGGAACACTCACCGAAAAGAGAGAGAGAGAGACGCTTGAAGAGAAGTCGTGGATCCTTTGCTTGAAGAGCTTTTCGGCTTTTCTCTTGCATTGCATTGCCCTTCTCCTTTGCTCTCTAGAGGAAGGAAAAAGAGTTGAAAGCTTTAGGTGCCGACAAAGCAAGAGAGAATTAAAATTGTGTACCAGGATTTCCTTTGCAATAGTGGTCACCGACCGTGAAAAAAGAGAAGCTTCACCACTAAGAACTTAAGCTTACTCTTCCTGTGCCGTCGTTTTACACGTAGCGAAAGTCTTTCGATCGCTTTGATAGACAGATGGAAGGAGACGGCTGCTGCATTGCTTGCTCCATCAATCCGCAAGATGGCCACCTAAAACGGAATTCACCTTCAGTCTGCACGAAAATGCCAGATGTTACCTGAGAGTGAAAGCTTCGTCGGTCGACAAAATTCCAGTAAAAATGAATAATAAAATACACGAGGGTCAAGAGCGAACATAACCTTTGAAAAGCTTGAATAATTCTTGAAGAATGGCATTTAAACTTGCATAGATAAAATGAAAAGGAATGCGGGTACCTCGTTGGCAAGCTCCAACCGGTGAATTGCAGCTCTACAATGCTTTATAAGTACCGCAAATCACATCTGACCAGAAACATACTCACTCCTAAGAAGTCGGATCATCAGCGTAATCATTCTTCAAGTGCCAATGCGTCCAAACCTCTGTCCATGCATATGCCTGTCGAGTACGGCTAAGCGGATCCACTAGGCAATCTGGGACCTGGAAAAAACCCCTTGTCAAAATTCTTTTTTCTTGTAAAACCACAATTACCCAGCGTTTCAGCTTGTTGGACACGATCTGCCTGCACAGCTCCCAAGATAAAAAGAAAAGTGAACGGTAAATGGGATCGAAATAAAAAAATAATCTCTCTTGATAATTCACGACATCTACAAAGCGTACGTACCTATCTGAGCTAAAGCTCCTAAATTCTACGAACCGGGGGAGGAAAAAGAGTGCGTACGAACTTGCCGCCCTGCAATCAAATGGTTTATCGTTTTGTCTGAGGCAAATCATAAAATGAACACCACAGTTTTACTTGCCTCCAGGAAACAGCAGTTTTTCTAAAAGTTGTAATAGTTGTTGTTGTTGTTGTTCATAGCGTACGCGACCAAAACACCTATTAAAGCCACGGTAATCAACAAAACGATCGACAAGCGCACTCTGGACGAGCTCAGTGCACTCGAAGTGCGACCACTTGTTGATCCTTTGCTTGCAGGGCTTCTTGGATCCAATTTTCTCTAGAAAGAATAAACATATAACAAACTTTACAATCCGAGAAACTTGGAAAAGAAATACCTGATCCTGTTGCGCTTGTTTCCCTGCTAATGGCTCTTTCGAAGCCGCGGGAGATGGAGCAGAATCACCAGGAAGATACACCACCTTTAACTTGATATCGCAGATGCCTTGGCTATCTTCTTTGGTAAACTGTAGAGAACCTTTTAGCACGAATGAGAAATTGAATGCCAATACCATTTTCGACTGGATGTCGTCTACTGTTGTTTGCTCTGTTGCGACAACACTTAGTATCATAAACTTGTCCTTGCATTGAAAATCCGCCGGAGCTTCTCGTTGAGCTTGCATAGTGACTGGAGTATCAAAACCAAGAGACCAAAACTTTTACCAACCTATAGAAAAAAAAAAAACCATAGCTTAGCTTCTTACAGGCAACATCGCAGGTACCCCGAGGCTGTATGACTCCAGCATTCGGACGCACGCAATACCTTTTTGGAGCAGTGGTTTTTACCTGTCACAAATTCTATCCAAGTTCGATGCGGTGGTTTTAAACTCAAGAATAAAAAGATAGAAAGACCTTAAACGCCACAAATTCGTCGCTCACATTGTTGAGCCGAATTGAGCATGAAAGCTGCTTTTTCAACTCAACTGAAAGGAGGAGACAAAAGAAAAAAATAGAAAAACTAGTCAATTCGAAGCTGCAAGTGAGATTGGAGCCACTTACATCGAAAAACCAATTCACTGGGTTGGATTGTGATAAGCTCTGGCATGATTTCCGCCGCAAAGAGAACTACACTCAAATTTTGCCTCCCATACAGCATCAAACGTAGCAGCTTGGATCAAGATTCGCGAAGCCCCACGCCGCACCATCAGTCCACCGCCGCGCCGCGGCCGCGAGAGAGGGAGAGAGCGCACAATACCAAAAACCCTAATCTCTGGAGATTGAAAGGGCAGGCAAGGCGGGAAATTCTGGATTCCATCCAACGGTCCACATTACGACACCGCTCCACCACTAGAATTTAATGCGGCCATCTCGAACCATCCATTTCCTATCGGACGGCTCATGCGCTTTTGAGCGTAATCCCCGCCTTTATAGTGCCGTCCGATATGCCTATCGGACGGCTGGCCATCGTCCTCCCTGCATTGCTAGGGCTCTTGAGCTCGGGTTTGATCTAGGCGCTCCTTTTCGCGCTTTCGATTCTTTCGCTCCTCGCTGTGCCCCCGATCGCCCCAGCAGCAGCGCGCAAATCTTGGAGGATGATATCAGGTGCGTCTCGCGAGTTCTCGGTGTGAGGGTTTTTTAGCTGGAGGATGATCGTTGGCCAGTCAAAAATGGGGAATGCGGATTTTGATCTCCCGGAATCGATATGCTCGGTGCTCCCGGACGATCCGTACGAGCAGCTGGATGTGGCGAGGCGGATCACTGCCATGGCAATTGTAGCTAGAGTAGGGAAGCTAGAGGCAGAGGAGAAGAAGGCTTCTCAGAAGATTTTGGAGAGGGAAAGAACGATCTATGAGCTCCAGGAGCGGCTTGTGGAAGCCGAGCGATCCTTGCAAGAGGCAAACGCTCGCCTCGGCCATGCGTTGGAAGAACAGGTTTGGGAATTTCTTTTTCACAGTGCATTGGCAATTGCGACCTCTCAAAAAAATATTACTTTTTCCAGGCCAAAATGGCAAACGAGAAGAACGCACTTATGGCGACTGTTAAGAAGCTGAATCGTGACGTTGCTAAGGTACTTAACTCTTTCTTTTTCCCTCTTTATAGCCTTGATTTCTTGCTTTTCTTACGTAGCTGGAGACTTTCAAACGCACACTGATGCAATCTCTCCAAGAAGAGGATGAAAATTCTTCCACTGTAAGTTTTTCAAATGTTCCTCGTTATGCTTGACCGATCGAGCTACTTAAATTGTGTGGTGCAGTTAGAGAATGGAGACAAGCATCTCCTCCGATCTAACATGAGTTCTCATGCACTTCCGTCCCATGGTAAACCGATTGTGAATTGTTACTTTTTTACGCTACCATTCGTACGGGATGATAGTGCAACTTTTCTTTCTTCCAGATGGTCGACCATTTACAAGGGCGCAACTAGTAGAAGCCTCAAACGCTATTGTAGAGGATCCCGAAGATGGTAGCAAAGATTTTCATTCTTTACAGCTTGTTTTTTACTAAGTTGCTTTTTTGGTAACAGCAGGTTCCAAGCAGAAGTTGCTTTCGATGACACCAAGTCTTACTCCAAAACTTACTCCCACTGGCTCTCCCAGAAGACAGTCGACGGCTACTTCTCCCAGAAGGCATCATCCTTCGAATGGGATTCGGAGCTCATTTTCACTCTCTCTTCCTGCTAGTCAAGCCACGACAGCTCCGAGTTCTCCTCCACATGTTGGTGCTCTACCAGGTATTATGCTCACACGATTCTCGCTGGCTGTTACTAACATTCAAATGCTTTTGTAGTTCGCACTCCGAAGGTTGATGGGAAAGAGTTTTTCCGCCAGGCCAGGTTTGTGTTTATTGTTGTTAATCCGATGTTCAGAGTCTCAAACGCGTGCTCCCCAGGAACCGACTGTCATATGAACAGTTCAGCGCTTTCCTTGCTAACATTAAAGAGCTAAATGCTCACAGGCAGACACGAGAGGTAAAACTTCTCCAAAATCACGCTTCTGCGTTTCTTAACGCGCTAGTGCTTCGCAGGAAACATTGCGAAAGGCAGATAACATATTTGGACCGGGAAATAAAGACCTGTACATGTCATTTGAGGGATTGCTCAGCCGCCACCTTCCTTCGTAAGAGAGAGGTGGAAGATCTCGTTCTCGGAGATCAGTAAGGTCCAAGCTATCCAGTGTTTCTTATTTCCTTTTGTCTTAACAAACTGAAAGAATTGAGGAGTGTTTCCAGCTGAGAAGATTGTTGCATCAGATCGAAACCTTGGACTGAATTGGATCGTTCACAAGGCTCGAAAGAAACACATAAGCTGTTGAGTCTCGCGGCCTAGACGAAAGAAAGTACTTGGCTGCTTGAATGCCATAGCCGACATCGCCAAAGCTTCTACAAGCTGCCAGTAGCTTTCTCCACTGCCAAGCTCCAGCCTCGAAAGGCATGCTCGCGGCAAGCTCCAGCGCGCTCCCAAGCTGTCCAGCTCTAGCCAAGACATCAACAAGGCAGCAGTAGTGCTCCATCGCTGGATCCACGCCAAAGTCCACAGCCATGCCAACAACGTATTCTTTCGCGGACTCGACTCTACCTTCGTGGGTGCAAGCGAGCAAAGCTGCCAAGAAACAATTTTTATCTGGCATGTAGAAAAGTTTCATATCTGTGAAGGTGGCAATGGTTGCTAAAGATTCCCCTCTCTGGGCATATGCCGAAAGAATAGAGCTCCATGCTACTGGATCCCCTTCTGGCATTGACTCGAACAGTTTTCTCACTTCGACAAGATCCCCGACTTGGGCATTTGCAGCTATCATTGAAGTCCATGAAACAACATTGCGTTGTGGAGTTGACGCAAAAATCCCTTTAGCAATATCAATATGCCCGGCTTGGGCATAAGCAGATAGCATTGTGTTCCAGCTGCTTGGGCTCCTGTGCGGCATTGAGGAAAACATCTTTGTAGCGGAGGAAATATCCCCAATTGAAAAGAATGCTTCTATCATAGCATTCCAAGCAGCTGGTGTTCTCTCAGGCATTGTGTCAAATACAAACTTTGCGTTTTCGATGTTTCCAGTTTGGATATGTGCTAACATCACTGAAGTTGATGATGAACTATCATGTTCTGGCATTTGGGTGGTAAAAATCTCCATAGTTTCGTACGGGCATCCATTTCTTATGTGGCTAGACAGTACGGCATTCCAGCAGGCCAGGTTTCGCCATGGCAACGATGAAAAAAATGACCACACTCCGTCCAATCGCCCAAAATGGGAATATGCCGAGAGCATCGCGCAGCACAATGGAAGGTTGTGCTCGGGGATCTTTTCAAACAAGGAGTGAGCCTGCGGAATATTCCCACACACGGGAAGGAATATTGTCACCGACACAATGTCTAGTTCGGGTATACACTCAAAGAAGCGAACGGCTTGGTGGATATGCCCATTGTGGGCATATCCCGAAAGCATTGAGTTCCAAGATACCACATTTCTATAAGGCATATGCTGAAAAAACATTGCGCCTTTCTCTATATCGTGTTGAGAATACGCACCCACAACTGTGTTCCAGGAAATGATATTCCTAGCCGGCATCTCCTCGAAAATGCGCTCCATATCCCGAATATGCCCACCTTGGGCATATTGAGATAGTATAGCATTCCATGACACAAGATTCTTCTCCGGCATTGCAGCGAACGTTTCTTCAGCCCTGGACATTTGCCCTGTACGAGCATATGCTGTCATCATGGATGTCCATGACACGGAATCTCTTTCGGGCATGGCATCTAGAAGAGATTTTGCTTGGTTTGCGTTACCACACTGGGAGCATTTGTGAAGTAATGCGTTATAAGAGATGAGATTCCTTTGTGGCATTGATTTTAAAAAATCTTTAACTTCATGCAAGTCTCCAAGAGCAAGCATGGAATTGTAGGATGCCAGGCTCCAACAAGGCATCATCTCAAAAAAGTCCTTTGATTCTACAAAATGCCCACTCTTGGCAAATGCGCTGAGCATCGTAGTCCACGACACGATATCGTGCAGTGGCATCTTATCAAATATAATCCTACATTGTTTTATATTTCCAGCCTTTGCCTGAGTAGAGAGCAGCATATTCCAAGAAACAAGGTCTCTCCCAAATTGAAGATGCATTGCCTACACTTTTGAATCAAAAATATCTTTAGTTGATCATACTTGTTAGAGGTTTTCACACTCAACTCTCTGGAAGGAGATCTGAGAGGCAACGAGATCATAGAGAATGTGGAAGTTTTGCTGTTGCATGTTTCCAATGATGGAAAGATCACCACCGGAAGAATCCATGCTCAAGCACACTACATCTCTGCTCGTCACCTGGAAGATGTTCTCGAATGGAAGAACGAGCTGGACCTGGTTTGCGAAGTAAAAGGTGACGCTTGGGAAGCCATAGCTCGTGTCCCCAGAACTGTTGAAGCAAAGATCAAGGCCCGCCGAATTGCCGAGTGTGGGAAGTATCACTTGTTCCTCGATTGATTTCCTCATGGCTTCGTAAACCGGGGGAGTTAGCAAGGTGTACGTGGTTCCGGAGTCAATAACAGTCTTGTTCGCTAGAAAAGGTCCAACGCTAGTGTTGTGACCTGATTCTTTATCATAGACCACCACTGGAACGCCACCGACCGTGATACTTTGGAGATCTACGTAGTAGAGGGTTTGATCCAGGTGATCACCGTGAAGAATCGGGGTGGAAACAACATCATGGCCTCTCAAAGCCGCGGAAGATCCCAGAAAGAGAAAGCTCTTTGCACTTGGAGGGCTGTCATAGCTCACGAGACAATACGAGAATTTGTAGCCAAGTTTATCCCCGAGCTGCTGGATCAACGAGTGCGATTTTTGTCCCAAACCAATCAATCCCTGGGTGAAGTTCCAGTCACCTTTTAGCTTCCGTCCACAGCCAAACAAGAAACCATCAAAGAAACTCCTGTGATCCTCTCCGGCTCCATGGCTTCGGAAGCTGATCCTGTCGGAGCCAACATCTCCGGAAGTCCTGGAACCGTCACCGTACTCATACTTGTATTTGCAAGTTTCCTCGCAGCGAGGACCAATCCCAGCCGAGGACATGCCACTGCAGTGCGTGCTATTGCACGGGAGCTTCTTGTATGAACTGGAAGCATCGGAGAAAAAAATGGTCTCGCCGTGATGATCCAAGTCGCAGTGATCGCAATTATCACACTTGAGCCAAACGAGATCACTCCCTGTGTCGATCATGGCCGGGATCAGCTGTGGAGGAGTTCCAATGCTCAGCTCCATCATATACTCGCCTTCTCCCCCGCCAGCCTGATAGATGGAGCTCGACAGCTCCGGCGAGTGGCGGTCGCGAGTGTTGTTTGATTTGGTAGGACTATTCGATGTTTTCCTTCGATCCGAGAAGAAGTTTGCTCGGGATTTACTCGTCTTGAGCGCCTTCTCGAGCCTCTTTGCTCTGGTCAGCGTGCCGGAAGCGTAGGAGTCTACTTGCTTGAGCTCTAATCTATATCCTGGGTGGTGTTCCGAGAGAGCGTGGATGCCATAGCTTACCAGGACAAGAAGAAGTACGCGCAGCTCCATACCGTCTTTCTTCCGACCCAAACAACAATCCATGACTGGCATTGTCCGCACCTTTTTTATCTTGCGTGCTGAAATAATGGCACGTCTTCACATTTTAATATGAACATACAAACGTGAAGCTTACCTTAGCTGGCCGATTCAACTAAATCCCACACTTTGCTTACCAAGTTACCTGTACAAGATCCATATTTTCCATTATCATTTCAACATGAACATAATTATGTTTGTTTCATGATACATAAACATTAAAGGCCATAAGCATTAGCCATGAAACACAAGGTGATCATCAAAGACATCCACCATAGAGTGTTAAAGACCCATGAACTATTGCACTGCCCAGGGTAAGAGCCTCTTAAGTGGTGAGGTACATGGCGTTAGTAGATTGGCTCATATTCAAATTTCACTTTATGATTAAATATACAAGTAAACTATCATACTTTCATAAACCTTTAGAAAAGCATTTGGTTAAGACACAATATATAGCTTGTGACAAAAGAATTCATAGGATAACATAAATCAATTTCCCTTTGAATTTTCTAATCAAAGGTTACATCAAAAATCAAAATGGCAAAGCAAATGAGAGAAAAAAAACAAAATTTTAGTGATCAATATTGCTTCTTATTGCAGCAGCTAATAAGAGTTATATTTTTATGGTCAATGTAAAATGCAAGAGATTAAGGATGGTTCAAGAAATTCTCCATATAACTCTGTATAGCCCACTGTTAACCTAAGAACTTGTTCTAAAGCTATTTAACAAGATGCAAATGAGAAATTTCACATGCTACTCTTGAAGCTTTTTTGAGTATTCTAGTAGCATAGGAAAACCAAGAAGAAAAGATAAGAGTCTCTTAAGCTCACCTTGCCTATGGAAAGTGATGGTGTGGAAGTATAGGAAAAAGTTAATGTCTGAATCAAATTTTTAGTTTCTTAAGTTTTTCATTAACTCACATAATGATTTCTGCCTACAATCATAACATACGGTAAAAATTTACTAAAGAAAATTATAAAAGTTCAGTATAAAGCCATTAGTTTGAAGAATATCCTAGGATATACTAGCACTAAATAAAAAACACTAATTTCTTTGAACTCCATAGCAATTATTATTATGTTAAAAACAAAATTTTATCAACAACTTTGTTTGATTGGTGGATTTTATAAACCTATAATCATTCGCTTAAAATTATCAATTAGTAAAATGGATTTTCTGCAATCTTTTAGTTTTTTATTTATTGGTATGCTCATTTTTAGTTATTGTAAACAAACCCACTCCTACTCAGCTGGTTCTGTACAAAGTTGCATTCGATCATTTCAAATAGGAACCAATCCTAATGATTTTTGCAGGTGTTTATCATCTGTATGGAATAATTTTGAATCTAATCCATTTACACCAGGGATATATACTGCTCAAGTTGGAACTTTAGGTTGCTTCTTTCGAATTAGACATTATCACGAACTATCATATTCTGACTTTTTAGAAGCTGCTACTGATATATGGGATACATGTCTTGCATATTATGACCAGGGAGGTGTAATTTCACTAGATGATGCCTCCATGGAATTAAGAGTGGAGCATGAAAGGGAAGGTCTTCTAGAGACAATTTCATATACAAATATTTCATTAATATTATTTACTGTTTGTTAAATTTACAGGAAATGACAAACAAGATAAAATAAAATTTAAAATAATTGAAATAAAAGCATTTGAATTAGGGCTCACATATCTCTTGCATACAATAATATTTTCAATTATGAAACTTAAGATAGTGATTTCATAAAAAAAAACATTCCAAATTTATGTATGATGTAAAATATTCATATTACCTAAGGCAAGAAGGGTAGTGCATGGTTAGTGTTCAATTGGTCATCACTTATGATTTTGTGTTGTATATTTATGACTTCATGTAGATTTTACTATGCATATTAAAATTCTTGTTTATGAGGTCCAAGTGTATTAATACAATGCTATAATTAACATAGTGGGATTTTGATAGCCATCAAAGTGGTTTAAATTTATTTTTGTATATAAACAAGGGTTTTTAAGTTAATCGACTATACATATTTTTATATATGAAATTGAAAGGTAACTTTGATTGTCTATAAGGAGCATTTGGATTTATGCTTTTGGTTTAGATTTAGCTTTTGCATTATCTCTTTTATTTTTGTACTTTTTCTATGTATGCTCTTATGTTTTTTTTCTTCTTTTTTTCATCTTCATGGCAAAGTAATATACTCTTTTTTTGTTTGACTTTTGAGTAACAATTAGTGAATTTACTCAATGCTATGTGGTTACAACTAAACAATTAAATATAGTTAATTGTGATATTCACAACACATAGTGTAACTCTTCTTACTCTTGTTACCAATCTTTGCATCCAACTAAATTTCTTCCATGAGAAGCTTAAGGATTATATATACTATTAGTTTTATCATTTCACGGTGATTGCCACTATTTTAGGCCGTCTATTCCTTCTAATGGGTACAAGTAGCAATAACCTGCAAAACTTGCTCTTAGCAAAATAGGTAATATGCATTATTGCTTCCATTATAAAGAGGTAGGATATAGGTATTTAAAATATCCTAACAAGCATAAGATGAGATATTGTATTAATGTCATGAGGGAAGACAGTGGTGGTGAAACTGAAGGGGTTGATGAATTAGTTAATTTAGAATATGAGGAAGAAGAGGAGATGAGTTATTATCTTCAAACTTTTCTCATAATTAATGCAAGCACTAATTCCTTAATGAATCTCATAAGCTTTATTTGCATATATTGAATCTAAATGATGATCGACATAAAAAGCCTACCCTTTTATAGTGCACACCACTAAGTTTTGGTATGATCGATAAAAAAGGATTGCATGTAAGTAATCTCTTACAATTATTTATGTTTGCTATTATAAAATGGTTTTCCATATTGTAGACCAAGTCTTCTAAAACTTGATTGTCAGATATGCTTATAAAATTGAGTGGTTTTGAGGGCTTAAACTTTAAAACTCATTTTCAAAATTTGAAAAGGAATTTGGTTTTTTGCATGTAACTACTTTAGTTGTTTTTGCTTCTCTCTTCCTCTTTTTGTTCTTCTTCTTTAATTTGTGAATTTTCTTTTGCAAATTATCAAACTCAATATTTTGAATTGTATACTACAGTATAGCATCGTGCCCAAACTCTTCCTCTTTTGACTCAATCTTAGTTTTTTTTGTAATATCTCCAATAGAAGTTTCTTCCTCTTGATTCACTCGTTTAAAAATTCTGAACATCATTAGCATAGTTTCATTTTGCCATCTCATCAACTGCATACATGCTTCTATCAATAACCAAATATACATATAACATTTTTACTGAATGGTGCAATCCAACTAATCTTACATATATCATTTCAAATTTACTAGAAAAGTTTCTACATATACAACTAAAGTCAAAAACTCTGACAAAAGTTAAATATGAATTACTAAGACAATTCATTTGATCCTAAATATAGTGCACTTGAATTTGGAAGTAAACTCCACTATGAAATGATATGCACTTAAATGCCTTATAATTACCAGCTCTTTATACCCAACATCTATATATAAAACAATATCAGATGATGTCTAACATAATTTTAATGGACCAATATTTTAACCCTTTGGGCATGCTTTGGGCTTTCACTCTAGTCCCAAGAGTTAATCTTTGGGACATGCTTAAAAATTTATTAAATATGGAATAACACTAAATTGTTAAGCTTATGAATCTATTTATACTTTATAATCAATGTGTTTGTAGATATACATGTTGCTGTTGAATTGGGACATAAGAACAACACTACAGTGTTCATTACACTCTTTATATTTTATAGATATGCATCATTAGCATATCTAAACACTTACTATAAATACCACATAAACTAAAATAGGATTAATATATAAGGCATGATAGTAAAGTGTTTAGTGGACATATTAAATTATCACATAGCAATATTGAGGGACTAGATTTAATATTGTGAAGGTTTTGTCATTAGTTAGTGTAAGATATAATGAGATGAAAATTCTTTATTAGGTTAAATATGCTTAACTAATAATATTTAAGAATTCCATCCTTATGCTCATCTAGTCTAACTAAATTTGAGATGTCCAATTAACTCTACTAGCATAAAAAAGGTTAATAAAGGAATTAAATTGAGCCAATTTTTTACTATCATGATAGTAAAGAGAGAGTGTTCAAAAGGATTTGTTGATAAATATCTTTCAATACTCAAAATCACATTCATAACAATGAGTTTTTAGAAATTATGATTCACAATAATGATCCTTTAGAAATTACTTTATACAAAATGATCAGAAACAAGTTGCACTAGATCCACTGATCTTATGTTCCACCCATTAACAAAAAAACTTTACTTTCGATTCTTCTAAAAAGAAAGAATGATATGAGGTCGAAATGTGGAATTATTATACTATTATTAATATAATAGAATTTTAATAACTGTTAGATTGGTTTTAATCAAATCACTAGCTCCTATATATAAATTTAGGATAATCAAATATATACATTTCAGTATTCTATGCACTCACACATATAAAACAAAAATAAAATCAGAGATCAAAGTTCTGTGTGTTGCACAAAGTACTGCAAGATTTTTGCGATTTCTTTTCCCTGCAAAGGGCGTGTAAGTCATCAGCAGTTGATTTGAGGGACTTACATTTCTGGTTCCAAGACGAAACTCCATGTTGTAGCTCCTGCAAAATAAAAAGGAAAAAAAAGATATTTAGATATCCCAGATTTCTCTTACATGTTTCCGGTAACTAAAGAAAAGGAAGAGTCCGAGTAACCCCAGCTGCAGAGCTCAATGTATCTCAAATGCAATAATTTTTCCTGAAACCAAGACAAAAGCCTTTAAAACTAAAAACAGAAGCGTAAGCATACCTTGAGTGGGATATCCACGAAGTGAACACCAGAAAGATTCAACACAAAGTACAGTTCCCTAGGGAACTGTGGACAAGCTTTAGGCTGCAAAACGAAGGAAGAAAGCAAAACGTTAACATTCCACAAGACGTTTGTGGTTACCACTACGTAGAACCAGGAAGATCCATAGAGAGGACATCGACTGCGCAAAAAAGCCAAATAGTCATTCCGGCAAACGTTGACATCCACTTCCCATGGCAAGGTCGCGACCTTCTTTAGAATGGCACTCCGCCATGCCTTTTCATAGCCTGTAACGTACTCCTTGGGACCATAGTTCTCCACAGTCTGTACACTGCGCGTTACAAAAATTTTAAACACTCAAAGAGAAAGACATGTTTCTTTGGATCTTACGTGAGATACTTGTCGAGATCAGTAGAAGAGCCATGCTCAGCGCGCAGTTGTAGTGCTGCTAGCATCACCGCATCAGCTTCTTCGATGACATATAGGCCGTGTACCACATCGTACGTTGCCTGTAAGGAGAAAGTCAGGCGAAAACAACAGCACAGGAAAGAACTTTGAGTTTGTTTACTGGAAGGTTTATTGACCATCATCGTACTTGAGCGTACTCGAATGCCCGGACTGAATCTGATGAAGCAGTGCCTTCAACAGGAAACCGGTTCCTCTTGAATAGGAGATGCACGTCAGCAAACAATCTCCTGAGCTCAGCATCCCTGATTTCCTCCTCCTCAGGATCCGTTTCTTTCGCTTCTCTGCCTGCTTTCTCCTGCATTTCCTTCTCCTTCAAATGTTCCATAGCTGAGATGCCATGTTTCAAGTCTTTGCCCAGCACCGAGTCCGGGTCCATGTTGTATAGGCACTGAGCACAGTGGTCCACGAGGAAGTGCCGTGTCCGTCTGAATGCTTGCACTTCTTCTTCCAGTTCTGGGGAGGGGCCTACGTTCCATTCCGTATACGACTCGGACAGAAGTCCATGTGTTCCAGCAAATCGTTCAACTGCAAAGCTTTCCATCACCGATTTGTCGAAGTAACAACTTTAAAAGCCTCTACCTCCATTTGTTACTATGAAGATACCATAAAAGCCAACATCTGGCAAACCAAGTCTTGCTGCAATTTCGGCAGTGACTTCTCCTCCAGTGGTCATTGAATCCATGGACACAACCTACAGCACTTTAAGTAACCAAATGAACCAGCTCTACTTATTAGTTCACCGAATATTACCTGAGCAAGTCCCCCCGGAATGGCAACGTTAATAGAAGTTACATGCATGTGCTGTAGAAATGGGAACGTTTGTCAACAAGGAAACGTGAAAGGAACCTTTGTCACCTCAGAAGCTAGAATCTCTTCTGAAGACGGAGCTACTTGCCGTGCTCCAACCCGGCAAATTTTTCGAAGCCGATTTAAGCAGTATAGTGCCATCGATCTAGCCTTCTCTTGATCGGGCATCCCTCCCACAATTCCATCCACAATCTGTTCCATTAAGGCTTGTACAGTTTCAACAAGAGTTTTCATAATACAACACGTACTTGTTTAAGATGCTCCTCCAGTACAGGTCTGAACTTCTCAGAGGGTGGAAACGTGCCAGCACAAACTGCCATTGCTTGCCAGCCCCTTGCATCACTTACTCTGAAAGCGATCACACGGATGCAGTTTAACGAAAGACAACGACGGAGCACATTACCTGGCTGGGTTGAGAGTAGTCTGTTTGCAAATCTGGCAATAAATCTCATCGCGTACAGCCTTGTACTTGATGCCTATAAGCAAAATTTGCTGAAGATGATAAAGCCTCGTTCGCTGGATAAAGAACTTTGTCCGGAGCACCTTGTCAATCTTATTGAGAAGTTCAGACACTTTAGCTTTGGCCGGTTCCAGCTTTTGCCGAACTGGCTCTAGCTTTTGTGCGATCGATGCCTTCATCAAGCGAAGAGTATCCAGAAATTTTATCTCACTCGGCTGCACGTTCTCAGGAACAGCAGGATCCTCCATATAGTTCCGAAGATCTGTAGGAAACCAAGCACACAAATTAGAACCAAAGTCTGGTTGTAGAATGCCATGCACTGCAGACAGATTGATCAGAAAATCAAAGAAACGGGAATGAAAGATTACAAGCACCAGGTTGAAATTACGTGCAAACACAGTCGCAGCTTTAATGCTCTCAGGACTTGCAGCCAAGCTACTTAATAATGGAGCACGCAGGGTAACCTGGATAGAAAACAAAACAACGCTCTCACTATAATGAAACAGAAATAGAGGAGAAGAAGAAGAAGAGTTACCCTTGAGTGCCGAATAAGCTCGTCAACGGAAATTCTTTTCCAAACCAGACGTCCAACTCCATAGATGTGCTCAGCAAACTCAGCCCGAGCGAAACGTTGGTAGGCAGAAATCGGTTGCCCTCCAGGTGGTGCGATGACAGACGGCCTCTCGCCAACTGACCCTCTACAATGAAAAACTCAATAGTGATCAGCAAGCCGTGACAAACTTCTTTATATTTTTCTACTGTTCTTACTCGGAGGAAACCGCAGATGACGGTGGATAAGCCATCCCATCCTGCAAATCAAAGGAGTCTATCAGAAAGTTGTCACTAAATAACAAGGTATCATCAGCAGGTAAAAAAAACGGAGAACTTATCATCGAGTAAGGAGAAAGAAAAGCAAACCTGACCCGGGAACGGTGGAATGGGATTTTGCAGCTGCCAAGGATGTTGGTCTTTTGGCTGAGAAAACGTCGTCTCGTCGCCTGGGAGAGCTCCCAATCTACCGAGCAGCGACCGGCGAGCGGACGATCGCCTGGCCTCAACACGCATATTGTTCCGGAATCTACTGAAAGCCAGCTCGTTCAAAGCTCTCTCCACGGGAGAGTGAGGAGGCGACTGAAGAGCACTGGTGGACGCTGGAGACGCTAGCCATGGACTAGCGCATTGATCATCTCCACCCCCGCCAGAGGTGCTAGCCTCGTGATCGTGAGTCCCTGCCAGTACTGGCTCCTGGATGACAATACCTGGAGCTGGATTTGGAGGAGGAGGAGCTTGCTCGGCCTCGGCCGCGACTAGAGCAGCGGCGGGAGAGGAAGAACTCGCGGCATTGCTCTCTGGCGGCACGGCAGCGGCGGCATTGCTGGGAGAAGCCGAAATATCGGGAGATCCAGCAGGATCCATCGCTACTGCTACCGATCGAGCTCCAAATCACCTGTCCCGAGGATCATCCGAGCCCTTGGCGCCCGGATGCCCTAAACGAAACCGTTGTTTGGGAGGGAAACCAAGCCCTAACGTCCAGTTTAAAAGAAAGGGGAAAAGGCTCTGAGGTTTAGGGTTTATGGCGATGGAGGCCGAGGAACAAGAAGGCGAGCGGCGCATCCCTGGTGAGTTCTTGCTGCTCAAAGGCCACGGATTTCTCCACGCCATGCTCGGTCCTGCCCTGCATTGCTCATAATCGCCAAGAAATCCTCACCTTGGCAGAAAATTCTTGAAGCTGGGGTTCTTCCTGATCGATCGATTCTTGTGGCAGGCGCGAGGCAAACGCCTTGGAGGAGAAGCTCGCGCTGGACGGCGCGTGAAATTCTCATCCTCATCACGGTCATGAAGAAGAAAACCTCCAGCGCCAGGGCTCTGGCGATGTGCCGGGAGAATGGCCTGCAACGCAGCTTGGAGGGGATTTTGCGCCAGTGGAGGAACATCTCGAAGAAATACAGGAGCATCCGAGACTGGGAAATCGCGAGCGGGGTCTCCTACTTCGACACGAGCCTGTGCCAGCGGAAGGAGAATTCACTCCCACTGACCTTCAACCGACGATTCTACGACCAATTTGCGAACAAGATCGTTCGGCTTCCTCGGAACGAAGAAGGGTGTTCCAGGTGGAGAGAAGAAGACATGGGTGGTCAGCCAGTGCCACTAGCTGTGATCGAGCCGTATGAGTTCTACCACGAGAAGCCGCTGCTGCTGCTACCAAGGCTGGAGAAAGAAGACGCTGTCAAAGAAAAGGAAAAGGAAGCAGAACAAGTCGAGGACTGCAGTCTTCCGCAGCTTGTCTACGCTGGAAGCGAGGAGGCCATGGACGAGAATGTTGTGGCATTCGCGGATGGCTGCCTCCGGTTCGAGGACGACAACGTTGCCGACGGGTTTCTAAAGGCGCAGGTCGAGCAAGCGATCGAGCAGGCCCAAAGTGGAGAGTTTGCGAAGAAAGGAGAGAGACCCAGGCCGACACTCCAGGCTTGCCGATCGCGCCGAGAGTCACTAAAGCAGCCAAAGCACGAAGACGAACTTGAGCTCGTGGAGGAGAGAACCAAGGAAACACTCGAGGCTTCTCGATCGTACCAGTGGCACTCGGAGCGCTGGAGGAACCAGAGGATCCATCTGGACAAGCAGAGGCTGGAGCTCCTGATGAAAGCCGACGCTGCGTTCCTGGCGGCGATCAATCAGCTCGCGCTCGCCGTGCAGAGGCTCGCAGAGAAACTGTGCTGACAAAAGGTGGGCGCTGAAACTTTCATCATAAACTAACCTCTGTCGCGTTCCAGACTGGGAGAGAGATATTTTGCAAGGGCTGGGACCCGTTTAAAACTCTTTTGCGTGCGACTAGCGCTCGGAGGAGAGACGTGAGTGCGGTGCTTGCGACGAAGCTGTGGACGGATCTTTTCAACATTTTTATTCCGAGCGATCCAACAACAAGAAATGCGTAAGATCACTATCTCTTTTCTCTTGGTTTGTTTTCTTGTGCAACTATATCTCTCTCTCTCTCGGGGGGTTTGTTCTTGCCTTTTCTTGTGCAACTAGATCTCGTGGTTTCTTCGCTAAAGTTTTTCCTTCGTAAGATTCACTCGACTCTATCTCTCTTCTCTTAGTTCGTTCTTGTCTTTTCATCTCCGCTAAAGGTATTCTTTCGTAAGATCGTCTCTTTTCTCTTGGTTTGTTCTTGGCTTTCCTTGCTCGACTAGATCTCTTAGTTTCTGCGCTAAAGGTTTTCTCTGTGGCCCCTTGTGTGGTTCTTCCAGGGAGCTTTTATTTGACTTGATTCGAGGCAGCTGCAATGCAACTACTAGTCCTCCACTAAACCGCGAAAGTTTTTCTATATATGTTATCGTACAGTGTTTACGGCTTTATAACTTTGAAACAGTCGAGAGAACTTCTCGCGAGCCCTAAATCCCAGTGCGTGGGCGGGCAAGGGCGCTAGCGGCGATGGGAGCCCCAGCACAGATCTCCAGCGCGCGCGCTGCCCGCGGCATTGCAATCCTGGAATTGCCGAGGTCTCTGCTCGCCGGCGCCAGGGCGGCGAGGATCAGCAGCGGGGCCGTCGCGAGGAAGCTGGGATTGGTCGCGACTCGCCACATTCTTGGCGGATCTCTCCATCGCGGCCTCGCCGCCAAGCCGCCATGCGCCATCGCGGTGGAAGGTTCGGATATTTCGGTTCGCTCCCAGGCGATCGAGGTGATCTCCAAGCCGACGGTGCTCGTGGCCGAGAAGCTCGGCGAGGCGGGCCTGGAGCTCCTCCGCAAGGTCGCCAATGTGGATTGCTCCTATAATCTCTCGCCCGAGGATCTGTGCGCCAAGATCTCGCTGTGCGACGCCGTGATTGTGAGGAGCGGCACCAAGATCACGCGGGAGGTGTTCGAGGCTTCCAATGGGCGGCTCAAGGTCGTGGGGCGAGCTGGGGTGGGCATCGACAATGTGGACTTGCAAGCCGCCACCGAGATGGGCTGTTTGGTCGTCAACGCTCCCACTGCCAACACCGTCGCCGCTGCCGAGCATGGGATCGCTCTCCTCGCTGCGCTCGCTAGGAACGTCGCCCAAGCCAACGCGTCAGTGAAATCAGGTACGTGAGAGAGATCTTCCTCGATCTCGCTTTCCCTCTTTCTTAGCTAAGTAAGATTTTCCACCATTTTTTTGTTCTTACATCTTTCGTCCTGTGCTGCCAGGGAAATGGCAGAGAAATAAGTTCACTGGTGTTTCGCTCGTCGACAAGACCATCGCGGTGCTGGGCTTTGGGAAAGTTGGATCGGAAGTCGCGCGACGAGCTAAAGGTCTGGGAATGCACGTCATTGCTCACGATCCGTATGCTCCGGCGGACAGAGCTCGGGCCATCGGAGTGGAGCTTGTTAGCTTTGACGAGGCTCTGGCGCGCGCCGACTTTATCTCGCTCCATATGCCGCTTACCCCTGCCACCAACAAGATCTTCAACGATGAGACATTCGCGAAAGTGAAGAAGGGTGTTCGCATCGTCAACGTCGCTAGAGGTGGCGTCATTGACGAGAATTCTCTGGTTCGAGCGCTCAACAGCGGCATTGTAGCTCAGGTATTTGGAGTTTGATTGCTTGTCCATCAGTCTTTCCTTATGCGCTGCTATTTACTTTTCAGGCTGCTCTGGACGTGTTCACTAAAGAGCCTCCTGAGAAAGATGACAAGCTAGTCCAGCACGAGAATGTGATTGTTACGCCGCATCTAGGTGCAAGCACTGCCGAAGCACAAGTAAGCACTTCACTTTTCCTCTTTCAGCAAAATTATCTGTCCTTGATTACCAGGAAGGGGTGGCTCTAGAGATTGCCGAGGCTGTTGTGGGAGCTCTACAGGGAGAGCTAGCTGCCACTGCTGTGAATGCTCCAATGGTTCCATCAGAGGTGAACACTTTTATCTTTCCAGAATCCCCACTTACAATCGTGCTAACAGGTGCTAACCGAGCTCGCGCCATACATCACCCTTGCCGAGAGGCTTGGCAAGCTCGCCGTCCAGCTCGTCGCCGGTGGTGGTGGCGTGAAGGACATCACAATCAGCTACAACTCCGCTCGTGCTCCCGACGACTTGGACACTCGCTTGCTCCGCGCCATGATCGTCAAGGGCCTCGTGGAGCCCGTGTCCGACACTCACATCAACCTCGTCAATGCCGACTACATCGCCAAGCAGCGCGGCCTCCGGATCAGTGAGGAGAGGCACCCGGCCGAAGGCACCGAGGCGGCGCCGCTGGAGAGCATCGAGGTGAGGATCGCAAACGTGGAGTCGAGGTTCTCCAGCGCCATGTCCGACTCCGGGGACGTGAGCCTGGCCGGGAGGATCAAGGACGGGGTGCCGCACCTCTCGCAGGTTGGGAGCTTCTCCATCGACGTGAGCTTGGAGGGATCGGTCATTCTCTGCCGGCAAGTGGATCAGCCGGGGATGATCGGGAAGGTTGGCGGGCTTCTGGGCGACGAGAACGTGAACATCAGCTTCATGAGCGTGGGGAGAACTTCGCCCCGCCAGAAGGCGGTGATGGCGATCGGCGTGGACGACGAGCCGAGCAAGGAGGTGCTGCAGAAGATTGGAAGCATTTCAGCGGTGGAGGAGCTGGTGTTTCTCAAGCTGTAGCAGCTGGTAGAAGGAAAGAAATAGGGAGAGATCGGATTTGATCGAGCTACGTTTTGGGAATAATGGAGGTATGTTTAGCTAAGGCGGCGCCGCTCCTGGTGTGGTGATGAATCAGTGAAAATGGTGGATTGTTTTGCTCCTCCCGTGATTCTAACTGGAGAAATCTAACTTGTGTTTTCATTGTTTTCTCTGATTGACAACAATGGTGATGCTCATGTTTGGAAGGAAATTCTTTAAAACTCTAAAGAACAATCCTTTGTTCTATTGATTTGTTGATTTTTATAGTAGAATAGTTGCTTCTGCTTAAAACTCGAAACAAATTGAGTTGTCTATTGATTTTGATAGAAGTTCTTCATCTGATCAGCACACAAGATTTTGTGCTCTGCCGTGTTTTGTGGTGAGAACCAGGTCATCTCTAAACTTGATCTTCCTCACCTCTTCCCTTCAAAGAAGCATCCTTTGCTCCTTTGCTGCTGCAATTTCTTGTTCAATTCCTTCAAAGCAAACTCATTTTCTTCCTCCACAACCGCAACAGGAGCAGATTCTTGATCGATTGGCTGCTTGGCAAAACCTCTTCTTAAGACCCAACAAAAGATCGCTGTCATCACCATCATCCACGTTGAAATCCTTGAGACCCTCATCGGTGCGACACCTGCTGGAGCTGTGTCTCCATGAGCAATTCCATACTCTCGAGACTCAACGTTTTGTCGTCGTTGACCAAGATAGGGTTTTGACTCACCACAGGAAGCTTTGCATTCTCGCCACCCGGCTTGCTTCCATCCGGCTGCTGCTGCTTCTTGGCTCTCTTTCTCGGCCGTTCCATGTCGACA